GGTTTCTCCCAACTCTTGTACATTCATGTATAAGTTGTTATTCCAGGGTCAGATGTACGTACTAAAGAAAGAATTCTTAAACCATACTCAGGATCCCTTTCTGCACGGAGAACCTTAGTAGTAAAACCACTTCTGGGTTGGTACCCTAGGCATACACCCTGCATGTATTCAGACAGCAACCTGAAGAAAAGACCATTTACCCCCGCAGTTGCAGCACTGACACATGGAGTTCCTCCATCTTTTAAGGAAAAGAGTGCACTGAAGTGGCAAAGTGCCAAAATAACTGTCAGGAAAGCTATAAAAGGTTTACTCTTCCTATTACAGGGGGCTGCAAGGAGGCAGAGCAGTCACCAAGCTGATGATCTCATTTCTGGAGCAGGGCCCAAAACAAGAACGTCAGGGGAAACAGAGGCGTTCCTAGAGTCTAAAGCTTCTCTTCCACCAAATAACTCTCCTGATTTCATCAAGCCAAATTCAGGAAGGTCTCAACGTATGGTAACAGGTAGCTAAAAATCAGCACAATTACTAGTATACAAGATTACTAGTTTTGCGTTTATAAAGGGTCAGAAGACTTGTCATTCCTTCCTTCTTGCAACGGCGGAGTTCTTCCTTCTATTCCATTTCCTGGAAGCAGTATCATTAGACAACACAGAACTGCCCCCACACAGGGCTTTGAGGGAGGAGGTACCAGAGCAGAACACCGAGGGTAGCACCACCATTCCTACGTCACTGGACAACAATCCAGACAGCAGAATTACGTCTTTCTGCCCAAAGTCACCACACAGTGGCAGATCTGGGAGCAGATCGAGGGTTCTTCGGTTCCAGAAGATAAGGAATTTAATGTTCTGGTTTTGGCACACTTGTACGGTCATTTGCACCGTCCAGCGTGAGACAGGGAAGGTGTTAAACACACCAACCCCACATACTGTTCCAGCAGCTCATCAACGAGACTGACCCACTGGAGACTAACAGCATCATTTGGCTCTCTCTTCATTCGCACTGCGCACAACCAAGCGTTACGCATGCAAGCTATTTTTAAGATGCAGTCTGTGACCGTCTGAGAAAAACATAAGACGAGTTTCTAGGGGTTAAACTCCCTTCTGTGGAGGGCACGAGCACAAGCCTCACACATCAGCAGTGTCCTTAAAACAACCTGAGCCAAGCAACCCAGCCTTTCTCCGAAGGAATGATGAGATCCGATGCTCTGCATGGAGTCTGCGCTCTGAAGCGTAGGCACGGCTGTCCCTAGAGCACAGCTTCTTTCAGTTATGGAAATAGACTACACAGGAACAAACAATAAATAAAGAAAAACCCGTGTTTTTTTCCTCCCAAGCCTATGTTTCCTGCTGGAGTGCTGCAGTTTTAATGTGCAGTGCCCACACACCTCGAAGCGAAGTCACGGGAACTAGTCTCACCCGATCACCGGTAACCGAGCGGACCGACAAGCCTCATTCATGAGAGCACTCCTCCACGTCACACTCACGCTTCCCCCACATCCACACCAGCCACTGCCAACTTCGACGGATTCCCATGAGAGTTCCTGAACTAGAAAATGTATTGGCTAAAAAGAAAATAACTTACTCCATACAGACACACACGCACACTTTGGACACTACTGCAGCACGCCATGTGACATTTTCTGTAGTCAGAGGCCCACACGTTCCACATTTTCCATTTGCTTGGATACCCCAAAACTTGCTGAACTCTGTCTGTGGCCTGAATCACATCTGAATGTTCATTGTAGTAACAACTTTTTTTTTTTAATTGATTTTTAAATAAGGTGGTTTTGGAAAGTCACTGGAGGCAATATCCTGCGAGCTGTCAGGCTGAAGAATACCATCATCATCATTCATTGACAAGAAGTCCCATCTAAAAATCATTTTGCTCTACACAGAGATTCACTCAAGCTGCCATTGGCTTGCGCTAAGTGAGCTGTGAGACGATGCAGAAGGCCTGCCACGAAGCCACCAGCGCTAAGGTTCTCCCACCCATCTCTCAGACTTCGCCAGCAGGTTGCACAGTGCCTGCAGCCATGGCCAAGTCCTTCACGCTTGGTCAAGTCCCAGGACACCCAGTGAAGACTTGGACAGCCAGAATTCAGGAAGTTACAGCACCTTCTGGTTTTGGGGGCAGATGCTCTCAACACAGCAGATATTGTCAGATACAACACAAATTTGCTGATCTCTGAATTGTGGGTGCGAGACTTGTGCTCATCCGATTAAGAGATGAACTGGGGAGATTTCCAAAGGCAAGGGCAGTTCAAAACCCAAGCCCCCTCTGAGTGAGTGAGAGCCAACATCTGAGTTCCAGCTATTCCTTTGAACACCTTGCCACCTCAAAACCGGAATTTATTCGTGCATCCAAGCACAGCCTTGGCTTGAAAGGAAATTGCTCCCTGTATTGTGGTTGCATTTGTAGTATCTATCAGGAGGATCCATCAAAACAGTTATGGCCAAACACACGACTACAAGCTCCAGCCTGTTAGGGCAGAAAGGCTCCTCTGTCACCCTGACACGGAGGAACAGCACATTCCAGAGACAGAGGAGAATCATTCCGCTGTCATCTTGCTGACTGTAGGTTTGGATTCTGCTACTTAACAACTCCTGACCCTACAAACCTTACAAGGGGACAGAAACATCTCCTGCGGCTCCAACCACAGCTACAAGAGAATCGTTCTTCCGCTGTTTTGGGAATGCTGGGTACCAAACATCTCTCGTGCCAACACTGGATAAAAGTTCAATTTGTTCCTTCCCAGCAGCAGCTTTCACACAAACTCCTCAACTTTTGAGCAGCGCACCAAAACCAACGTACCGCCCGTAGGACAGTCACATTTTTGAGAGCTTAAAATTAATCCCAGATATCCACTCATTTCATCTCTCTTGCATTTTCCATTCATTTTGCAAGGAAGTGGTAAATATTTTCTGATGAAGGTCTAGATAATAGACATCTCTCAAAACGTATGCTTCCATTGTATTGTGTTTCCCACCCAGATCCATGAATAGCTCTTGAAAAAGCAATAAACGTTCACATCTGCTTATTTAATAGCATTATTAACAACCCAGTGCATTTATAAGTTTTTCCAGAACCCTTGAACAAGTGCCATTAGATTTAAAATCTTAAACATTCTTTAAAAGTACTTTAATTCACAGAAATCTTTGTTTCTAATATACAGTAGATGGTTACTTTTTAAAATCCATTCTCTTTTCATATAATCTCAGTATCTGACTATACAATAACTTTCTATCTATAACATCTTCATGTTTTCCAGTCCAGCTTGCCTGTGCTTTAGGAATATAAAACAAAAAAATAATAAAGTTCTATCCACAATTTTACTAAGGTCATTTCCATAGTTCTCATGTAAAGCTTCTCTTGGAAAGTGCAGTATACACATGTAATGATACAACACACTTAAGCAATACTTTTATTATTAAGTGTAGGTTTTAAAAGAAGAGTAATGTAGAGCAGACACAATCGATGGTAGTTCTATTTACAGAATTTGTTAAACTAAGTGTTGGGGCAGGGGGATAGCGGAGAGACTGGAGATAGGAAAGGAGTAGTCACGAACTTTGATTTCTTTCCTTCTTAGCGAGAGGTCAGTACATACACATTTCAGTCGTTCATACTTTCGCACATGGGAAACTGCACTTTTACTAATACAGCTACGTACACATACACAAGGTTAGCAATAAGCTATTAATTATTCCACTACAGAGGAAGAGTCCTTCTGTTCAGAAAGAGCTTTCAAATACAAGATAGAAATTCCGGACTTCATGACCGTAAGCCAATGAAAACAAGTTTAGCGTATCCAGCTAATTGACAAACTAAGCATGTGAAGGGAGAAAGAAAAGGTAAAACCCACCAAGTTGTAGCAGCACTTATTTCAAACCATCCGAACCAAGTGCATGCTTGTTCCACAAAGACCGAAGAGTGGAATAAAGCCCACAGTCATCTTTGTCTACTGAAACAAATGGTTCCATACTTAACTGGTTTGCACTATATGCAGTTACAAGAGAAAAGGGGGAACCCAGAACAGATACCAGATGCTTGACTAAAACCAGGATTAAAAATAGACAAACAACTGTAGGACAATTTGTTTCATACACAATTTACAGTAGGTTGGGGGGATTTTCTTTTTTTCCAGTCAAACACAGAAAAGAAGTCACAGAAAATACATCTGCTGCTGCCACAATGCCCTTGCCATCCAAAAAAGATCAACAAAATGCTAGTCACAGCCATACTCACATGTATTTGGTTCAAAACCGTGTTCTATTTCACTTAGGGAAGCGCAGTTCATTCACAAGCAGGATTCTTAAACAGCAAACCATTAGCTGGGGGCAGTCCGGAAAACTCTCTTCAGAGGCACCATCACCAGAGGTACTAGGCAAGACTACTTCAGAGGAATTTGGTGCTTTCTCCTCCTCTGAAGCAACTCAAACATCAGCTCTCCTAACCTGTCTTCTGCAGGAAAGGGACATCCCTACCGATTTCACCCGTCCCCTTCCTCTTGCCCATTCATCAGAAAATGGGAACAAAACAAAAACCAAACCCAAAAACACAAACGCAAAGATTGAAACACAGTTGTTCACGCACTACTCTAAGGAGAAAGGAGCCTGTTGTACGCAGGGATTCATACATCAGCTACGGTTATCTAATTAATTTACAGTTAGGCTTTCCATGGTGCTATGTGTACATCTCAGCAGGGCGGCTAAGGACGGTGCTCCCTTTAGACATAGGCTAGCAAAGACAGGTGCAGAAGGAACCACAACGGGTTTTTACCAACTTGAGAGAGGACTACCTGGAAAATTGAGACAGAATCTTTCCCAGGACATGGGAAGACAGGGGGAAAGGTGGGTGACTGTCTCCTGTTGACAGATTTGTTTTTCTTTTAATTAAGGAAAAAAAGAAAAAGCCCAAAAGAACCACAACCGAAGGTAACTCTTCTGGAAATAAAAACGGAGAATAGGTACGTTACAGAAACTGCGTCTGCTACTGTGTCACTGCTACAGGTCTATGAGCTGATCCACCAGCAGTAAAGACCTGGCTATGTTGGGAAGACTGGACTCAGAGCTTCCACTGTTGTTTCTAGAATGCCCACCTGAAAGTGTGAGAGATAGGAATTCAGTATTGAACAGGACACACACACACGACAGTTTCAGATGTTCAAGAGCAAGCAAGCAAGAAAAAAGTCAAAGCAAAACAGAAAATTTGCTCAAGCTCTTCTCATTACTTGCATCATGATAGCAACAACATTCCCTTCCTTGCTCTTCCACCCTCTCCCCACCCCCCCAAACCTAGCTCGCTAGACTCGCACAGAAAAACATCACAGCAGCCAACAAATCTCTGCAAACCATTTCTTCTTCCCAGGCTTTACATCCAAGCTGCAGAATTCTGTCCTTACTAAAGGATCTATAAAGCAGTGACAAGAAATCCCACAGCTTATACAAAGGACTGCTCAGAGTTTTAAATCCTGAAAATGAGTTGCTGCTTTAAGAGAATCTTTGAGTTGCCAGCTACTCCAAAGAGAGCTGAGCTGTCACGGGCCTTTCTCTTACTGGTGCTTTGATCCTGCAGGAAAGCTCCTTCTCTTTCTTCAAGGTAGCCTATCTTGGCCCAACTTTGGTAGAAATATTCCCTGGCTTTCAGCAGGGAAAGCTAGCATTAGATGCAAAGTGGGTGTACAGCACATTCTTGCTGTAAACAAAAATGGGAGTTGGGGAACTCAAAAAAGTTCTACCATTAAAGTGAAAGAAAAAAAGACCAAAAAAAACAAACAAAGAAAAAAGGGAGCCCTGAAGTATGTTTTTAAACCTATGTTAGCATACTGAAAGCTGTAAGCAAAACGTTTCAGCGGAGTGACTGCAGAGAGAAGACCTCTTCGACTGACCAGCCTGCAAAACGCTGCCTGCTTCTGTCCCTCCAAGAGCTACAAAATGCAGCACTATTATTTCTTTTAAGGAAACAGTGCTGCTTCTTAGACTTAACCCTACATAAAACTGAAACTGTTTGCAAAGATCCACATCAGTGCGATCTAGGTGACAGGAATGCTGTAAAACGAGAAACTTCCCGGTCTCTGTCCTAAGGTTTCTGACCGCTCAAAGTTCTTCAAAGGAGTTGGGTGGCGTCTGCCAAAATTCTCACACTCAGTTCCCACAACCGATGTCTTTGAAACAAATATTATCATCATCTCCCTTTCTCGCACCTCGTGCCAAGTTCACTTAAAGTCAAAGGACTTCCTTCTGTCGGCTTGAACAGTAACTAAGAACGTCGGAGAAGACAGTTCTCCATTACACTTTAGCCAGGGGTATTTGGGTGCCCTGCCTGGCAGACTGGCAGAAATTACTTCACGGGACCTAAAGATGCTTGCACGTCTAGTATCTTTTTGGACATGCAATCTTCCCACAAACAGAGAATCTAGAGAAATTTCTAGGCTAAAGTAAATCAGAGAAAGACTAAGCTCACTAAATACTGCAACGATAGTATCTTACAGTTTATGATTTGCATTATTTCACATGTGCTGCAGCACCACTGCCCCAGAACTAATTTATGTTCACTGTTTTCCTTTTTCCTTCCCTTCTTCACACCCACATCCTGGCTTACCTTGTGAATTTTTGGATATCAACACTGGAATTGGGTCAAACTCATCTTCTGTCACTTTTTCAGAGCCCTCAGGAGCATCAAAGCCTGATATCAGGTTAGTATCTTCTGCAGCATAAAGAAGAAACAGAGGTAAAGAGGCAAAGATAGCAGAGAAGGTTGGTTAAAATTGCTAAAAAGTGTTAGAACATCTTTATGTTTTTAGAGACAGGGTTTAGAAGCAGGAGTTTCATTTAAAAGGTGAAATAGAAGTTGGTAAGTCCTTGGTAAAGACGGTAAGAAGAGAGCCAACTAAATACAAACGTGGAGGGGAAAAAAAACAAAACAAAAAGCAAGCCAAGTCATGAGAACCAAAATAAAATTTGGCCAATCTGAAGGCTTATCAATAGGCATAGTTCAAGGTTGTGGTAAAAGCCAGGGACTGAAGCTCCCAAAGATCGAAGATATTCTTTGTCATCATCCAGTGGCTGTCAGTGTTAGCACGGGTTGAGAGAGCCATCTGGCTCCTCAGTTACCAGCTCTCATGCACAGGGAGAAGAGGGCTGGGGGAAAACAAAAAAAAACAACCACCCCACACAGAAGAAATTCCAGTCATTTACACAAGACAAAACCCCTCAGTTTTCACCTACAGTGATAAAACAAGGAGTGCAATATAAAGTCAGACTTCCAAAGAGTTTAAATAGCTGAAGATGTAACTAGATACCAAGAGAGATAGTTCTAAAGGCCCCGAGAGCACTTCTGGCACATAATTCCATTGATTTCAGACCACGTCAACTGCAGTTAGACACTCGGTGGGAGGCACTTTCAACAATCTCCACAGTAGATGAGACATTTATCTGCCTTCTCAGGCAATTACATACCTTTAGGGACTTTCACACTCTCGCCGCGCATCACTGCTTGTTACTTGAGACACCTAAAATACCTTAGAAAATCTGGTCCTCAATTACTACATGAAGTATTTCTGAAAGCCTAGCAAGGACACGTACAAGTCGATGGTTTCCAAGGAACAGGAACATTCCTCTTTGACTCCTATCAAGAATCAAAGCTCTTTACCTGAAGCTGACAAATACAGAAACTGGTTTTGAGCGAGATGATGCAAGAAACCACTCGTGGAAATTCACTGTCCTCTGGAGGATCAGACCCAGAAAACAACCCCACAAATTTTACAGAAGACTAGCCTGTGAGGTGCCAAAAGCACAAAGACGTTTCATCTTAATGGAAAGTCTCATCTTGTCATCACTCTGTCTCTGGAGTTAGTTATTTGGGGCTCTTCTCCATCTACCTGGGAGCCTTTGCAAGCATCCTATTTCCATTTCACTTCATTTGCGCACACAACTGCTCACAGCTCTGGGGTTTGCTCCACAAGCGGCCACTGAAGGAGCACTGCTCACTTATGGACTATCCTTCCTAAGGAGAGGGAAAGGCTGGCGAGTGTCCCTATTTGGGGAAAACTCCTTCCAAAGTGTCTGAGCTCACTTTTGGTTTGTATCACCATAAGTAGAAAAATTCTCCCCTCTCACATACAGACAACTTGGTGCTGTATTCAACAAATGTAAATTAAGGAATCCCAAAGGCTGAGCAAAAATTCAGAGGCCAGAAGACAGCCTAGTAAAGCACAAAGGCAAGGACGCTACGGCACGGCTGGAGCACCAGTCCATGCCCAGAGCACGGCTGCTTTTTCCAGTCCTCCCGCTCGCACTGCCGGCTTGCAGCGTTGCAGTTCCACAGGCGGATTGTACCCACGGACAGCAGCATCTGCCCACAGGTGCTTTACATCACCAAGGACAGGACTGGACAGACAAAGCAAAGGAAAAAAAAGATTGAGACCGCTGTACAGCGAATGACTGCACCCAGAGCTATAAAAGCAGGGTTTGAAAACAAGCTGTAAATGAACTTTGGAAGATTTTAATATTTTGCTCCACCCCAACACTCCGGCTAATAGAAGTCTCACTTCCCTCATCAAACGTGAGCCTTTCTCATCCCAGAGGGAACGGCAGCGCAGCCTGGGGGAAGGCATGCAGGAGTCTGTTAATTCATTTTCTCATTAAGTCACACCGACAATGTTTTGGCTTTGCTATGTTCCAGACATGGAGCAATAACTGCGCAACATACATTTCAAGGCATTTACTCAAAATAAAGTGGCATGGAAGTCTATTCTAGCAATGAGCAATTAGAACAACTGCTTGTTTAAACCCAAAAGCTCTATGAAAAAAATACAAATTCATTCTGAAGTGCCATCAAGTGTAAAAATTGATTACAGACTGTTTTTACAGTGATTCCTCTGAGGGCAGATCATTTTCTGTTGCTATAGGGATACTTACCCAACGAGCTAAGCAAAACCCATTGGCCGGGGGCCCACAGCCGTGAGCATTTGTGCTCCGGGCCTCTCTTTTCAAGGCAATAAATCGACAGGAGTCCTGGTTCTTCCCTCCCACCTGGGTGGATGTGTACTGCCCAGCACTCACTACAAGCTCGGCTTGCGTGAGAGCCATCCACTAACATTTGGCATTGTCCCCAAGGGACACATCCACTGCTCACAACTGCTTTAGCCCATACTGAGGATGTGCCAGAACAGCGCAGGAAAGGTTCACCGTGCAAGTCACGCTCCAGCTGACAGCTCTTCCAGTGCCATTGCTCCAGCCACACCGCATGGAGAGGGCCCGGATTTCAGCTGGATGCTCTGCAGCCTCGGAAAAAAAATGCGATCCAACTTTGGACACAGCTTCCCGGGGTCCTCTACTTTTGCTTGTTAGTGGAAAGAGAACAAAACTCTGATCACTGCGCAGTATTTCCACAATCCCACTCAAGCTCAAATACTGATGTACTGCAAGGGCTGATCTGAAGCTCTCAGGAATTACCACACGCGGTATTACCACATGCTTCTCTTCTTCAGCTCTGCTTTTTTGTGATACTTGAAACTGTTCCACTTTTCAGTTAGGTACTGCACTTCGACTTTCATTCCTATTTGCTGTGACACTGAAGAACCTTCTCCTGGTAACCTCTGAACCAGAAAACATTCTCTAGATCTGAAAGAGCTCAGTCCCACGCTTCAGATGCTAACTCTGAGAAACGAAAAAAAACCTCCTTTCATTTCAAAAACCTGTGACACCAGTATAGCTGATTATCAGGCTCCTCTCCAGAATTAAGACCTGGTTTTGTGCTGCATTATTAAATCCCACGTGCAAGCAGAAAACCCAGAGTGCATTCACGTACAAACCTGAAGAAGGGTTGCATGCAAAAGCCTACCCTTTAAGCCTACTGTATCCCTTCTGCTGTGTCCCTGTTTCATGGAAGATGCTGCCTGTCTTGACAAAGCTTGTCTTTACAGTCCAGCTGAATACGTTTAGCTATATTTTTCCCTTAGTACTTGAAGTTTCATCAGCTTAGGAAGAAAGCAATACAATGGCTTGGGGGGAAAAAACACCACCACCTGAACATGGGTCAGAGCATCTGCTTGTGTAAACCGGTACCCGCTTCACTTCACGATAGCTAAAGACTGCGTCCCAGGATGGATTAGGTGTTAGAGACAGAAGGACAGTTTACCTTTGTGAGGTTGAGCTGTGAAAGCTACAGGAGCAAACTCATCCAAGAGGTCAGCAGCAGGGTTAGAAAGCAGAGAACAGTCAAGCAGAGAGTCTTCCCCAGTGAGAGAGTCTGAATCCAGGTTAACATCCACAGACCGCAAGGTAGCATTAAACAGGACACAAACACTGTTAAGCTCATATTCTCACATTCCTGTTCCCGCCCGCTTAGCGTGCAAACAGCGCTCTGATGCAAAGCCAGCACAAAAGCTACCATTTTTTGTGATGGAAAACATTTCTTACCACTCTGCAGTTAGGGCAGAGGATTCCCAACACCTTTAGCAACATACAACACATTCTCTGTGGCTAAATACCTTCTAAAGCTGAGTACACAGCAACAAAATCCCCCACAAGAGACAGGGTAAAGAGAGAGTAGGGGGAGCAAAGGGGAGCGTGGGGAGGGAAAGAGAGCTGCAGGGACTCTCTGGCAAAACTGCATTGGCTGTTTCACAAGAGACCTCTGAAAAGACGTCGAGTCCATCTGCTGCAGAAGTGGCCAGATGAAGGCTCCACAGTAAGAAAGGGACATGAAGCGCTTACTACCACGCCCCAGTGCGACAGACAAAACAATTCAGTGACTGCTTCAGATTTCAAATGCACCACATCGGAGCGATACTCTGGCACCTGCAGATCTGTGATGGTGGGCTGTAGGAATACTGTACAGTTCTTCACAAGCAGACAAGTAACACTGACCTACAAGGAATCATGCAGCATCCACTTACAAGACACACAAGCAAGCACAGCTTACACTGGTGGGAAAAGCAGCAGAGATGCTTATGGTCAAGCAGACAGCGCTTTCCGATTTACACAGCCCACCCCGGTACGATGCATCCCTGCCCCCCCCACACCCTCCTGCCTCACCAACCTGTTCTGTTGGAGGCAACCGACTCGGTCTGGGACACCAGGCGTTGGGGCAATGGAGCCTCGAGGCCCGGTATGAGACTCTCAACAGCCACGTCAGGTTTTCCTTTCCAAATGTGCACCAGAGCAGAGAAGAAGCCAGAGGTTAGTTTGCAAGGCACAGCATCACTAGGAACTAAGGCGGCAGTTGCCTGAATCCTTTAGTGATCCTTTAATATGTGCCAGCTACGATGGCCACAACAAGAGGCTGAAGTTAGACCAATGTTAATTTAACCACGAGCAAAGTCTGTAACACGTGAGCATTTGTTGCGTTTGAGTTTTTCTGTGTGGGTTGGGGGGGGGGGGGGGGTGTTTGGTTTTTTGTTTGTTTTTTTTTTAAATTTTAATTTGTGCAAGCCCAATCTGCAATATCCAGAGGGTAGAACAGGAGGTTAATAACGCCTGCCCTGCAGCTAAGCAGAAGGCCTGGGGCTGGGCAAATAACTACAAGCTTTTGCAAGATTCTTTTCCAGCAAAAGGAAAACACTGGCCTTTAAGGAGTCCCCTTGCATTAGCAGTAACAGATCATTAAAATACCTACTGCAAAGCCCTTAGCATATTCCCAGCTAAGCTTGTAAAAAGCCAAGACAGGGATTTTTTTTTTTTCATTTTGAGTGCCCAGTGGAACAAAGACCACAGACCTTACAGAGAGGTGACAAAGTTTTGGAACTCAACATCTTATTGAAAACACCAGTCCCCAGTATCATCTAGTGCTGATGGCTATTATGTGGATACAAAAGATGTTCACAAAGGCTGGATAGAAAGATTTGTTTTTATAGCAACTATAAAGGGAATGGGGAGACATACGGATGATAACTGTCACAGTCATACCAGCCAGGTATACTGCCTGTCTGGGTCTCTTCTTCAAGGACCAACATCAAAAGCTAATCACCAAGTTGTTAAATTAAAGAATGAGGACGCACTCAAATGCTAGAACCAGAAATGGTCTAGTTGGTCAAGCCAAAAGAGATTAATTAACTTTTTTGTTTGCATAGCAGTGTGTGTGTCTGATTTGCAGGATCATTATCTAAGAGTATTCAGACAACTGCCAAAAATTGCAAAATAGCGAAAAAGCCTCACTATTCAGGTGACTCATTTCCTACTTTTCTATTCAAAGCCACAAGGTTGCAACCAGCTAGTCAGGGGACCCTGGCCGGGACCCAAAACCACAAAAGCAGCTAGCTGATTGCAACTAACTGCAGCCTGCAATTATCAGTCTTCAGTACCTTTGGCAAGTAGGTCAAAATACGATTCTGCACACTCTGAAATCTTTACACTGCCTGGAGCCTGTTGCACCTGGGCTTATGGCAGCCTAGCACGTGTATTCGCAGCATATGGCCCAGGTCAAAGGCAAGGCTGTCCTCATCCTGCCGAGTGTCGATGGATGGAAGACAGGTTCAGTGCCTGGGTCGTGGTTACACACTAAATCTTTAGCAGAAACAGAGGGATTTTCTGCATCTTCTCCTTCAGTCAACAATTAACTTTCTTCTACCAAGACCAGAAGAACACAGCAGGCACCACCACGCCGTGTTATTGTGCCAAATCAGTAAGCCTAGATTTTAAATGCAAATACCAAGTCTTCGCTGTTCAGATGCCAGTCTCATGGAGAACAGGCAGATGTGGCTCAGCATAATCCGTAACTTCCTATCCCATTGCGCTTCACCAACATCAGCAGCTGCTTTGAGAGCCCGGTGGGGGTAAACACGCAGAGTTATCATGCGGGACAAGACATGCCATGTAAGACAGAGGGGAGGAGGTGCCCTGAGTTTATTTTTACCATTCACAGCGTCTGACGTGCTACCGAAGGGGTCAGCGAGAGGCAGGATATCAGGGAGCAGAAGCGCAGTCTCAGGAGATTTGAGTCCCTCAATCAGTTTTTCTGGGTTAAGCGGGAAAAGGAGGAAGGCAGGCAACAGAGAAAAAAAGCAAAAAATAAAAACAAACAGGAAAAGACAACGTTAATCAGGTGCTCAATCCAGCAGCTCATAGTCCAGTGTGTCAGCCTCGGAAAAGCACCTGCACAATTTTGTGTGAAAATCACACTATCACTTAGAGATATTCGAGGGCAGCTATTCACCAGCTGGCTGGCCATGGTCATCCTCACCCACTGAGTGCTGCTCTCCCTAAGGAGCTATTGTAAAAATGCACGCAGTCCTTTCACTCCTACCCAAAGCACAAAAGCTTAACGTAACCCACCGAAAATCAAATTAAAAAGGAAAAAAACCGTCAAACCACACCTGCAATTTTTCCCCTCTCACCTTCCTATGCTGAAGATGTCTCTGTTAGTCTTTGTATAACGAGAAGAAATGGAAGAGTTGATCAGAAGCTCAAGATGCCAGCACTAGGTACACAACACCTATTAATTTGCTCAAGAACAGAATACTTATAGCCCTTAAGAGCTTAAGCAAAACCAGAAATCACCAAGACACGACAGTGCCTGACATCAGAACTTGCCCTGGGGTTAAACAGCTGTCTGGTTACCAATTAATTGTTTCGACTATCAGGTTTCAAATCAGACATGTCATTGTCAGCAGTACAACTCCTGTGGTTCCCATTATCCTTCACACAAAGAAATTCAGATAGCCTGGGCAAAAAATTAATCTCAATTCTTAATCTGATGGATGAGTGATTTCACAATCATACTAACTAGGTTTTCAATAAAGAGCTTAATTAGTTAGCTTTCACCAGGGTTTCTTCACAGAAGAAGAAGATAAAGAACATATTCAGGATTTGCTAGAAATAATCACCTTCAGTAGAACAGCACAGATAAAATTTGCTCCACACAAACAAATCTGGCCATTTCAACCTGCTGAAATGACTGCATTTCTAATCTAACATTAGAATGAGCTGTGGCCCTGCCACATCTTTACAAAATATGTACATCTATATTTTAGGGTTTGAGTTCAAAGGCTGGCGTTATTACTTATTACCCAAAGCAAACGTGCTCATAACTGCACAAAAGCACAAGCTCTGGAATACTGCTGTATAAAAGACTTCCCACGCTGAGGAAGCCAAAGAAAAGCTTAAGTTGCACTGTTACATACATAGTAATAATATCGATCTTTTTTACTGCCCCATATAAATAATAAAGCAGCCTAGCGGCTTTGGAACTGCTTATTCAAAGCAGGACAAATTCTTCTCCCCATGCAAAACTTCACAAGCCACTCCACTAAAGCAACCAGGAGGGGAATGAAACCTAAAAAACAACCCAAGAGGCAGCTGTTGTATCATTACAGGCCTGAAGAAGGTCAACTGAAAGGAAAAACCCGACGGGAACAGCAGCATTGAATGTACTTGAAACCTCCCCACCTCTACGAGGAATACTCAGTTCTAGAGATCGGGTTTGCCAAAGAAAACGCACCCCAACTGCAGAGGTCTCATCCTTGGCCTCCCAGCAGCACAGAGAGGAGCTTTTTCCTTGGATGAAGGGTGAGGCTGGCAGCAGGGGCTTGGCAACAAAAAGAGGTGTTGATGCTATCAAAAAGGGGCGAAGAGGGATGGAACCCTTTATAGCGTGTTGGGAAAACGTAACATAACACAGCAGAGAGACCTGGGGAGAGGACGACACGGAACACGCGCAAATCCTCTCCCAGAAGGGAAGCGGGAAGATAACAGGTATCCACCCAGAGTACAGCTGAATTCAGCAGCGTTTTAAAACAATTAACCCAGATAGCAAGGCACAGAGCTCAACTGCAGGAGAAATTATGGATTGTCTCAGAGTTGGGCACTTTCAGACTGGGTTTGGCTCCTACTTCGAGACAAAGTTTTTAAACTATGAAGTGACGTGTATGTACACTGTGAACACTCCCCTTTCAAAGCAGACTCTTACAGCAGGCCTGTGTGCCAACGCCCAGCTCCTCTCAAGGGACTTGTATCAACCTACATCTTCCAGCCCATGTATACAATAATGATCCCATTTCCAACTGTCTTGCTCCCTGTAGTCTCCCTCCTCCAACCTTACCTTTCCAAACAGCTTCCACCTTTTTCATTACTGGACAGTTTCCATTTAACACAGTGGAACTGCCTCTTGGCCAGACACTAGAAAGTTGTCCACTGAGTTCAGCCACACTTATTAAACACACAGAAATTATGAGAATAAACATGGCGTTCTTCTCCCTTCATGTCAGTTTTCCCTCCTGTCCCCTGAGCTCAAATGGTTTTATGCAAAGCTTTAGACTGTCAGTGGTTCTTTGTCTTATCTTGTCACTTGTCTCACTAGATCTCCTTTCTCATTCCCTTCATTGTTGGTGCTGATCCACCAACGCTCTTACAGCCAGCCACTGCATCTCTTAGGGCATGATTAAAAAAGGAACCTTATTATCCCTTTCGAGTGAGGCTGAGAAGTTCAACAAAAACAAGCAGGTGTCACAAGGAATGGGAAAGGAAATACCAAAAGTAACAAAAATCAGATGCCTCAGTCTATGGGGCCTAGCAGTTCGCTTCCCTGGTTTCTGCTTTGTGTTGCATCTTGCACTAACCCGTAGGAATAAGAGATACAGCAGTTGCTTTATGTGGTGGGGAAATTCACATTCAACTAGGAGCAAAGGAACAGTTAGTGAAGGCCCAGCCAAATCCAGAGTTTGTTATTAGTTAGCAGGAATACCTTCTCCACAAGAGTTAGGTTCGGTCTCTTTAGCACAACACGCTTCTTAAAAAACACGTGTGCTAAAGGAAGTTTCTCTGATTCCACATCAGACATTCAAGTCCAAGAACACTACATGCCTTTGCAGCGGCAAATAAACCCAGCTCTTCAGCTTCTGCTTCACCACAGCTCCAAGGATCAAAGCAGTAACTCAAGGAGGGGATTTTCTGCACACTAGACTGTCTCCCTCTGTGTGAGCATTAGGCAGCTGCAGTTTAACTACAAGCAGACCTAGAAAGAAAAGACAGTCTCTCTCATGATACTGAACTGCATTTTGGGTCCTGCTACCAAGGGAATTCTAAAGCAGAAGTTTAATTTTAATTTCCAAGAGAAAAGCTGCTTCTGCCGCAAGTGGAGTCATGGCTGAGATGGCGAGCAGCCAGCAACGCTAAGTAATTTGAATGAGAATTTTTGAATGAAAAACTGGGCTAACTAGCCACGTTTTTGTTATCTGTACAAACACAACAGTTCCAAGTCACACGTGTATGAAGTGATCATCAGTTGCAGCGCAGATTCCACCAATAAAGCAAACAGCACGCAGACGTATATGCTATTTGCAGAAAGAGATGAAAGCATCAGCCTTGGGCACGGACTTCTCCAGAACACCAGCTCCCATCTGCCACTCCCTGAGCAAAGATCTTCTGCTGGAGGAAAACCAAGAGAGATGTTTTGGCACTGCAGTCCCAGTTTCTTGTGACTTGCTGGGCACGTGGGCACACAATCCCAAGCTGCGTTTTAGAAGTGGTCATGATGGCAAAGAAGATCAGTTGTGCAGCAAACAGCAACAGAACAAGAAGTAAGCAAACAAACAGAAACTTCTTCTATGCTGCAGTTTCAGGGCCCATCACAACTAACTTTTTGCAGGTACAGAGCTCAGACTGGAGCATGACAGGACAGAACACGTTCTGCATAAATCACGATGCAGTTAAATTCAGGATTTTATAGTATCAGAGGTCCTTCTGCCTCAAATCCAACAGACATATCCAGATTATTCATATGCAGACATACGAACAAGCCCAAGGATAAACAACGTTCAGAACATGTAACCCAGTACAAAGATGTCTTCTGTCATACAGCTCCTGAAGGGCTCTCAGGAAGGGCTTTTATCAAACTCCAGCTGAGAAACATGTGCTTTAATCAATAACTGTGCTCCCACGCGAGGAGCCTCTTGGAGGCATCCTCTGCCCCAGACAGCCAAGCGAAAAGCTGCCAGATGCCTCTCCAGGTGAGAGGCAAAGTAAGCTTGATTCAGGTTCAGGATTGAGCTGACCATTGCTATTTCATTTTCTGTCAGGTTTTCTACTTTGCCCGTTTTCAGGCCTGACAGGATGGCAGCAAGTTTGCTACGGCTTTGCATCAGCTAGTAAGGATGCAGCTGAGTAAGCAAGATTCATTAGCAAGTCTTAAGAAGGTGTCTAAGCTTAAAAGCATGCAGGGGGGATTAAAAAGCGCCCTATCAACCCTTTCCAGAGCTAAAGCCCAGCCACCTACTGCAGCCTTTAGATGCATGTTTCACATTCTTCCTAAATTCCCCACAGTAAGAAATTCCTAATTGTTTCGTACTGTAGCCAGAGTAAGCAAAACACGCTGCAGAAAAAGCAAAGCAAGAGCCTACAGCTAACAGCTCTCGGAGGCAACCCCACATGGCAGATGCTGGTAGCTTCAGAGACTGGAAAAACCAAATCGCTTCCTCCAGGAACGAAAGCAAGAACCTTTCCTCTGATCTGCACCACCCTAAGGAAGAAGTAATGCCATTTAGCAGCAGCAGAATTACCTACGGATTTACATCATGGGGCAAGAAAGCAAGTGCAAACCCCACACATCGGTTGAGCAGCACAGCTTTGGACTATCCAGGGAGAAAATTTTGACCTTTTTCTTCAGATCTCTTCTTTTCCAACATACGCACAAACCTGACTGTTGAGATTTGCAATTAGTCAATTTGCATAGACTTTGCGTCTGCGACACCACCGCTGCCAGAGACTGTAAGTTGGCATGCTGCATTTATACTTGGCGATACACACGTCAAGCGACAAAGTATAGGCAGAAACCATTTTAAGGACTAGAGTTATCAAAAAAAACATAAATCAAGAGATGAGGGAGGCAAATGGGTTTTCAGTTAGAGCAAGCTATTAGAAAGAAAAAAGATTCCTGAGAAACTTGCAAGTTAAAGAGGGAACAGAGGGCAAAAAAATCTGCCATAATTTGGTAACACACTGAACAACCAAGATGCAACATCC